TTATTTGATAAGGCATACATGTACATCTTTGCCTGGTCAGATGCGGATCCAGGACTATGGAAAAGGGGGCCCTGCATCTAGACACCATAAGGTGTGGGAACAACGTCTTAAGACATTTTTGTAAGATAGAGGCATTGCATTAATTATATAAGTAGCTCCAACAGCATAGGCGGATCCAGGGGGGGCCTGGGCTCCCCTTTTGTGGGAAAAATTTAGTTGATTATATAGGGAATCACTGAAGCATGACTGGAGCGGGCCCCCTCTTAGGTCAGCCAGTGGGCCCCCCTTACAAAAAGTTCTGGATCCGCCACTGTACAGGGGGATAACTTGTCACCCCCTAACTGATTTCTCATGTGTTATAAACATCTTTATTATACAACACTGCCAACATAATAATTATAATATAAATTAGGTGTTTAATGGCATTAAATACTATAGTATAGACTATTCCATTTATTGAAGCCTTACTACCACTGCATGCTTAAAGTTATACTAACCTTTGTATGCAGCAGTAATATTTCCAATGTGCGAGAGTTTTTCCACCTGGTCCTGCATCAGAGCTACTAAGGGACAACAGACTAAAACTTTTCAGTCAGAACTGTTTTCAATAACCGCCCGGACAACTGGAAGGTACAGTTGAAACGGCAGTGACTTGCCAAAACCAGTCGGGAGTACAGCCACGCACTTCTTCTTGTTAACTAAACACTCTAAAATTTCCTTTTGCTCCTTCTTTATATCATTTATACCAAATTTTGGCAAAACTTTTGTCAAAACGTTGTCCAAACTGGGCGCATCCATGTTTTTTAACGATCCGATAATGGTATACAAGCCCGTCGCTGATTGGTTAATCGAAATTGATTTTCTGCACGCTGATTGGTCGGTCAAAGTTCACCAAATTTGACCCTAGACATGACCCTCAAGCGGCTGTTGTTAGATCTCCCACGCGCGACATATAAACAACGAGGAGCAAGTGCGGAGATTTAATTTTAATTAGATTGTTTCTAGCTGTCACTTGAATCGATAAATTGTTTTGCCAATGTTTTATGGTTTGTCTGTATGTTTACAATTGAAATGGAAAATTTGAGAGTACTGTGTAAAGCTACTATGGTTCTGCAACGAAAAGGCAGTTTTGGTTTGAAGCGGCAAAAAAAATATGATTTTACTGCTGAGGAGAGGGACCATGTCTGTCATATTTGTTTTTCACAAATTGTTTTGTTATAATTTAGACCGTTAGTTTTCTCAATTGAATTTCTTTCATATTTTTTATGTCGGGGCCTTTCATAGCAGACTATACGGTATGAGTCTTTCTCATTGTTGAAGGCCGTACGGTTGCCTATAATTGCTTACATCCACTTCATTTTAACTTTGGTGGATATTTGTCTCATTGGCAATCATACCTTATCTCCTTATTTTTATATTAAAAAAAATTAATGGAGGATGTTACATCTTATTTTGAGGGTGGACTTGAGCATTTGATTTAATTCAAGGAACATGTTCTAATAGTTACTATTCTAAATTAATTTGTTATAAATAAAGAAGATTTGAGGTACTCTTCAAAGAGACAGCAATTCAATGACACACAAAATTCACCTGGAGATAAAAACAAGTAGAAGTGTCAGCTATTGCTCACTAATGATACGCCCGCTTTATCTATTCGGTAAACAGAAAGGTGAAGAAAAACGCAGTACACGGTAATGCATGTTCACATGAAAGCTGATAGCAAATTTCAGAAGGCTGTTATTTGTAGTTATGTAGATGCAACAAATATTTCATACATGGCCAGTATGTATTAGAATAATATATAAATATTAGGTAAACAGGAAGTTGATGAGCGATGTGTCTGAAATTGCATCACACGTGAAGCATGCTGACATGATGCTTGGTAACACATTTCATAAATTTTAGTTTTTAGAGAAAATGGGACGAAAATTGAATGGGACGGACGGACATATGGACGGACAGACGTGGATAAAACAGTATACCCGCTCTTTTGGAACAGAGATATTATCATTTTAATATGACATTGTTTTAAGTATTGATTGATTTTTAATCAGAAACAGAAAATGTAAGTTCACGATTAAAAAATAAACCAAAATACAAACATATAAAGACAGCACATGTTTTGAACAAGAATATGTGAGTCATTTAACAATTATTAATACAAATGTAGTATTACTGTCGCCCAAAGTATATATCTGTCATGCCTGAAGACAACAAGCTTCGTTGTAGCCTAGGAAACAAACTTTTTTCATGAGATTTTTGATTTGATGTGATTTGAGTTTTAGTGTTTTAACGCCACTTTTAAGCACCGTTTTTGGGCTATTTCGTGGCGGCCAGTTTTTATTGGTGGAGATTTTTGATAAATCAGAAACTTTAATTATTGAATTAACTCAGACACATAGATGTTCCTTTTGAATGTGTCGAAAAAAATATGAGAAGTTCGTGAAGGGAAAGTTGAAGTAATTTGTTTATCATAAAGCTAAGATTTTGTAGCGACATTTATTTACATGTCAATTTCCAGGTGTAATGCAAGTTGTGAAGTAGACCTACATATGTCTTCTTTTGTAACTTGTTGCTTCAAGTTCAACATTAATTGGTATAAAACCTCATTTTCAGGTGGAGGAGATCCACATTTTATGCTGAGGATTAATAGTATTGAATTCCCGATATGCTTTGATATCGATGCACGTAACGGAGATGTTATCCGGATGTTGAAAGATCAAATCGCAGGTATATATTGTCATTTGCTTATAGTGTTTTGATTAAATAAAGGTGCAGGATAAACAAATCAACAATTATATTACACTAATTCTCAATCCACAACTACTTCAATTGCTGAGGAACATAATATAAGCATTTATAGATGGTGGATTGACGGATGGGGTAGTCGAAAAAAAAGGGAATGAAAATTGCAGGGTTAAAGTATGTAACTTTAGTCTTGGTCGACACATCATTTGGTTTCTTGGTCGACACACCAATTGGTTTCTTGATCGACATATCATTTGGTTTCTTGATCGACATATCATTTGGTTTCTTGGTCGACACATCGTTTGGTTTCTTGGTCGACACATCATTTCGTTTTTTATTCGACAAATCACTTGGTTCCTTGGTTGACACATCATACGGTTTCTTGGTTGATACATCATTTGGTTTCTTGTTTGATACATCATTCGGTTTGTTGGTCGACACATCATTAAGGTTTTTTGGTCGACACATCACTTTTATTTACACGAAAAAATCTTCCTTGGCTTTCTGTCTTTTATTTCTCTTTGTATTCATTTTTTAAACAGGTATAACCATTAATGCTGGCATTGTAAGATCAACAATGAAGAAGAAAGATGGAGAGTTTAAAACATTCATTGGAGAAATTGTTATACTGGCACCTGCTGCACGAATTGATATAAAACCAGACGAAATTACATTTAATGGAGCTGTATTATCCTGGAATGACGCAAGCGTCTTTGAAATGGAAGGAATTAAAATCCACGTGAATGGAAATGTATTTCATGGTAGAACAGTACATATAGATTTTGGAAATGACATTAGTATTGAAATTCGCCGACTTATGATAGAAGGTACTGAACGTGTTGTTAGCTACCTGAACATGTACATCGATAACGAACAAGGAATATCGGATATGGCTGGTGGTATCTTAGGTAAGTTTTCTTAAATCATAATAACCTTAAAAGCAGAACTTGGTCAGGTCCTATATACGTTTCCAAGATTGGCAACACATTTAAATGTTGGCAGGTCTGCAACTGAAGTTTACTCGAGATAAAGTTAACAATGAAACTAGTCCTGCAAAAATATTAACTTTGACAAAACCGCCCAAAATGATCCAGACATATTCCATTGTTAATTTTTGGTCTGATCTGCTTCACTTTTAATTTTCCTTGAGATCAGGACCGCTTTGTACGGATTGATGACATATTTTAAAAATGTTCTTATTTCTCGATTCAACATACCGCATTCAAATTTCATTGGAAAAATATTATATTTTATAAAAATATATATACATATATATATATATATTTCTCTAATTCTTCGTCAATTTATCCCTTTCTGCACCCATTGTATAAAAAAAAATTTAATCAACGTGTGGTTCGTTTGATCTCAGTTCTTCATTGGTTAAAATCCGATTATGACGTCGAATTTTCTTGCTTTCCTCTGAATTTCCTATTGTGACGGCATGAAAAAAGGCGACCATGCCTGATGACGTCACATAGAAAGAACACATCTTTTTGCAGATCATTCAAAAAGAAGGAATAAACACTGGACACTTTTAATTTGCAAAACACTCATTTGCAAATCCGCCACCGCCTCTCCTTACACCTACAGTGTCGTGTATATAACCAAAATGTGCAGAATTACATGGGATTCAATAATTTCATTGCTTTTCTGCTGTAATTATTATATATATTTTGTAATTTGATTTAGAAAAACATGGGATTTTCAATATCCCATGGGATACGGCAAATCCCATGGGATTGACCATTATCCCATGGGATTTTGGTTAAATCCCATAGGATTTTTTTGGGTCCCATGGGATAATTGTAGTCCCATGGGATATTTGTTGTCCCATGGGACCAAAAAAATCCCATGGGACTATAATTATCCCATGGGATTTTTAATATCCCATGGGACAAAATAAAATCCTATGGAATTCAAATTATTAATATACAGTAATGTGTATGTTACAATGAATTCTGTTTGGTAGTAAAAAGTTTATAATATAAATATTAGTGTATTTTGGGTTTTTTCATTTTGTCACAAACATGTTTTTAATTTGTTTATATGACAATAAAGATTATTATTATTTTGGAAAGTATAATAATATTTAAAGTTAAAAAATAAAATCCTTTAACTGAAATAAAATGATGACATGTCTTAATAAAAGAAAAAAATATTGATTTGAAATCTTTGTCTTGTTTGTTTTATTATGCAAAATAGAACTGAAAAAAATATTTCATATTCTGACTGAATAAATTGACAAAGCACAGTTAATAGTTTACTCTTTTAATGAGGTAAAGTTTTCTTTGTTATAGTTCCATTGCAATACATGAATATGCAAACAATTTGAATCTTATACCTTTGTGGTGTTCATAATATTACGTTTATATTTGCAAATTTATAAAATAAACACTTTTCCTGTTAAGTTTTAGTTTTCTTGTTTCAACTTGCTATGTACAATTATTCAGTCCACTACATAAGAGTCAAGTAAATAAATTATTTCATCCACTAGAATATTCCTACAATTCTTAGACAAAACATTTTTGCAATCTGTTCTTCAAAAATCCTCCTCCGTACATCTTTATTGGATGGAGCGATTTAAATGAGTGGACAAAGCAAGTTCATTTGGACAACAAATTACTAATATATTTTTTCATTCCTCCCTTCTTTCAATTGATAATTACGTTGTTGCATTTACATGATTTAGTTCTTGTGCATCTATGATCCTTTTTGTTTATAGTCATTATGTTGAAATTTCCTCTTTCTTATGTAGGAAAAAAACACATTCCATTTCAAATTAATAAAAAAGTCACACTATATAGAAAAATATCAACTTTAAGTTTTCTGTTCAGTATTGACCTGTTGAATGATGATCATGAAAACCAAGATGTCTGACCTACAAATACACAAAACTCAAAAATTATAAATGAAGAGAAATACAGCAATAAAATGGCTACTTTATCATGTTTATGTACATTTTGATAAAACTTTCATTTGAATATTTAAAATTGTAAGTACTCTTATTTCAGTGCTTTGTGTCTATGGTTTTCATATTAGTTGTTTTTGTGCCTTGTTGCAGTCTTTTGAGTTAAGCCAATTGCAACAAATGTTTACAGTTTGTTCAAAGGTTGTGCTGTTATTAAAACCACTGTCCTAGGTTAGGGAGGGGATGGGTGCTCACAAAATGTTTATTTTATTAGTTGATATTTGCTATGAATTAGCTGTCAGTAACTGTGAGTACTAATAGATCTGTATGTTGAGTCTTTTTTGTTACAGGGAAAGAATAAATGTCCAGCCACATCCGGTCTGTGTTTTTGGTAGCTGTTTTTCTGCTTTGTTGCATTCTAATGAGTTAATAAAATTGAGAATGAAAACGGGAATGTATAAAAATAAGCTGACCCAAGAGCAGAAAAAAGCCCTTTTCAACTGATTTTATAGTTTTTATATTGAACTGACACTTACACCACTGTCCTTAATTAGAGGAGGATTTGGTGCCAGCAAACATGTTAAACCATGCCACATTTTGTAAGTGTCTATCCCAAGTCAGGGGTCTATTATTCAGTGGTTGTCAATTGTTGCTCTATATCATATTTGTTTTTTGTTTATTGTTTTGTGCAAAAATCAGGCACTTAGCTTTCGCCTTTGTGGTGTATCCCCCAAGCATGTTTAGTATGGATAGACATTATGCCCTTTTTAAATGACGCCATGCCCTTTTTGAATTGTTTTACATTTGTTTTTTGAATTTCATGGCCTTTTATAGATTACTATGCAGTATAGGGTTTGCTCATTGTCGAAGGCTGTACAGTGAACTAATTTTGTTAAATTTCATGTCATTTGATCCTTATTGGAGAAAAGTCTCAATGGCAATCATACCACTTCTTATTTTCATATCAATCCTGCCATATTTTGCCTGTCCGAAATCAGGAGCCTGTACATAGTTCAGTGGTTGATGTTGGTTCACGTCCATCATATTTGTTTTTTCATAACTTGTTCATTTTTATGAATTAGTCTGATATATTTGAAGTTTGAATTGATGTTTTGTTCCAAATTTTGTTTGTGGTGTCATTTATAGATGACTACAACATGTATAGGTTATGGGTTTTCTCATTATTTACAGGTCATCATTGGCCTCTAATAAGTAATTGCATTGCTTTCATCCACTTAATTGAACTCTGGTGGATAGTTTTCTCATTTACCATACCACATCTTATTTTCATAATCATTATTCAAGGGCAATAACTTTTATAGACGTGGACTTACCATTTAGGCTTTGTTGATGTCTGAAATCTATTTTTGTTGATAATCTCTTTTGTTTATAGTTTCCCTTTATCTTTAATGTTCTTGCCCTACACATAAAAGGGTAAACATTATCATTTAATGACAATAACTACTATTACATAATTAGTAGGCAACTGACAATTTTGGATCATTTGTATATCTTGTCATGCTCATCATTTTTTTTGTTTAATATTATCAATATTCTATGAAAATGAGGTCACAGTAATATTAACCTTGGCAGACAGACAACTTCTTATTTTTATATGACACCTTGCAGTCATTCCATACACTTACAAGTAGACATATATGCTTATAATATCTGATAAAAAGAAAAAACCAAGAAAACTTAGCATTGACCAAAGAACCATAAAATACGGTCATGGTTATATAAATCTGCCAGACAGACATGCACACCTTACAATCGTTACATCCGCCAAATATAATTTACCTGTTGCTTAAAGCATATGACAAACTGACAAAACAATGCAAACTTTTCATTGACCAATGAACCATGAAAATGAGGTCAAGGTCATATAAAACATGCCAGACAGACATGTGCATCTTACAATCATTCCATTCACCAAATATAGGGGCCTTATTGCTTACAGTATCCGAAAAATAGACCAAACCACAAAAACTAAACATTGTCCAATGTACTATGAAAATAAAGTCAAGGTAAGACGAAACTTCTCAGTCAAACATATCATGATATGCACCTTACTATCATTCCATACACCAAATATAGTTGACCTATTGCTAATTTGAAAATAAGAAAATAGAAAAACTGACAAAAAAACAAAAAAATAACATTGAGCAATGAACCATAAAAATGAGGTCAAGGTCGAATAAAACATGCCAGACTAACATGTACATCCTTAAAAATTTTCATACACCAAATATACTTGACATATTGCATACAGTATTAGAATAAAATGCTCCTCTGGGTGCAGCTTGATACGACCGCAGAGTTAGAACCCTGAACAGTTGGGGCAAGTATGGACACAACATTCAAGCTTGATACAGCTCTGAATTTGGATTGCGATTAAATATTTGACACAGCATAGGTTTCTGACACAGAATGAATGTGGTCTAAGAACTTAAAATTTTTTAATTTACCTATTATGGTCCAATATCCAAAATCTAAATACATACACGGTTAGATTCAGCATATCAAAGAACCCCAAGAATTCAATTTTTGTTAAAATCAAACTAAGTTTAATTTTGAACCCTTTGGACCTTAATGTAGACCAATTGGAAAACGGGACCAAAAATTAAGAATCTAAATACACGGTTAAATTCAGCATATCAAAGAAGCCCAATATTTCAATTTTTGATGAAATCAAATCATATCATTATTATTTGCTTTTATACATAAATAAAAAATAACCAACTTAAAATGGAAAATTTTGAAGAAAAAAAATAGGAAAAAAAAATCCCCCCCCCATTTTTTTAATCCCTTTATGATTCATCACCCCCAAACTCAATCTCAGCCTTCCCTTTGTAGTATGGTACCTTGCAGTACAATTTCAGAAAGATCCATACACTTGAACACAAGTTATTGTCTGGAAACTAGAAAAATGCTTGTTTTTTTGCCCCTTTTTGGCCCCAAATTCCTAAACGTTTAGGGCAATTACCCCCAAACTCAAACCCAGCTTTCCCTTTGAGATATGGAACCTTGTAGTACAATTTCATAAAGATTCATACACTTACACACAAGTTATTGTCCTGAAACTAGAAAAAGGCTTGTTTTTTGCCCCTTTTTAGCCCCTAATTCCTAATATTTTAAGCCCATTACCCCCAAAATCAATCCCAGCCTTCCCTTTGTGGTATGGTACCTTGCAGTACAATTTCAGAGAGATCCATATACTTGAACACAAGTTATTGTCTGGAAACTAGAAAAATGCTTATTTTTAGCCCCTTTTTGGCCCCTTATTCCTAAAAGTTTTTGGGAAATTACCCCCAAACTCAATTCCAGCTTTCCCTTTGTGATATGGAACCTTGTAGTACAATTTCAGAAAGATCCATACACTTACACACAAGTAATTGTCATGAAACTAGAAAAATGCTTGTTTTTTGCCCCTTTTTTGGCCCCTAATTCCTAAAATTTTGAGGCAATTACCCCCAAAATCAATCCCAGCATTCCCTTTGTGATATGGAACCTTGTGGTACAATGTCAGAGAGATCCATACACTAACATACAAGTTATTGTCTGGAAGTTACAAAAATGCTTATTTTTGGCCCCTTTTTGGCCCCTAATTCCTTAACTGTTGTTACCATAACCCCAAAAATCATTCCGAACCTTCCTTTTGTGGTATTGAACCTTATGGTAAAATTTCATATAGATCCATTCACTTAAACTAAAGTTATTGTGCGAAAACCAATGTGTCTTCGGACGAAGACGCCAATGTCATACCAATATACGACTGCAAAAATTTTTTGCGGCCGTATAAAAACTGGACATTTTTACCTAGGAATAGTGATGTCTTGGACTAGGAAAATTAGTCTGGGGACATAAATTACTGACATCAGACTAAATATACTAGTAAATTCTGTATCCATGGACTTTTTATACTAGTTATATTTGTCTGACCAGACAATTTTTATAAGGACTAATTTATCTCTTACACTAGTTCTCAGAGAGACATGTCACCTTACCTTGACACATAATTCTGACTCTGAACAAACCAGTATTTGCTCTTACTCCTTAATAATACTGCGTGCTTAGGGGAGAAGCAGCAAATACCAACTTTAAAGTCTTTGGTTTTACCCTGTTGGGTTCAAAATAAACAACCTTCTGCACTTGAGGTTAACACGCTATACCACGAGACCAGGCAGTATAATATAAGGAGTTTACCCAAGATTTAAAGTTTCCAAGTTTTTGCAAAAACTGGATCAAAATCATAGTTGAAAAGCAATAACTTTTTAATAAGATTTACAAATGTAAGTTTCTCTTTAAATATTACAGTTTTAGAGATAAAAAGGCAAATTCAAGAAATATGAAGAAAAAAAAGAAGGTAAAAATCTGTATTTAAGGCAACAACTCCTATGAGTCAGCTGCCAGTTTTGATGCCATTTAAAATGGACAGTAGATTTTATTTTTCAACATTCTGATCATTTCTACCCTTGTCAGATATCGTCTATCTATTTTGGCCTTTTGTAGCTTATTACGCAGTTTGGCTTTTTAGCCCATTGTTGAAATCTGTACGGTGACCTATATAGTTGTTAACTTCTGTCTTTAGTTTATGTTGAAGAGCCTACGGTGACCTATATAGTTGTTAACTTCTACGTCTTTAGTTTCTGTTGAAGAGCCGTCACATTGGCAATGTCCAATGATACCATATTTGTATATGTTTTTGTCATTTAGGTGTAAGGGAGTTACCATTTGATTTTTATGGGGGGGGGGGGGGGGGGGGAGTAGGATGAAAAATGTTGTTCTGCATTTTTTTTAAGTTGTAATCTCTGTCCTGCCTTTATATTTTTCACTCTATTCGATCCTGCCTTTTTTTTTTATTAGTTTATCCTGACTTTTTTTTACATAAATTATCATCCTGCCTTTTTTTTTTTTGCCATGTTGCTCATCCTGCCTTTTTTTTTTACTCAAAACTCCTGTCCTGCTTTTTTTTACAAATTTCATCCTAGCTAACCCCCCCCCCCCCCCCCACCATAAAAATCAAATGGAAGCTCCATAAGGAGACAACCTTTTGATTTTCTGGTGGGATAAAAAGTGGAGACAGATTTTTCATCACCTGGCCTGGTTAGTTTTTCAGGGTTCGTAAGGATAGAAAATCCGGCAAATTGTAACAATTAAACCCCTGTTGTACGACCATATTTGCCAAAAGATTAGTCCAAAAATTTATGACGTCTTGCAAGGCTATTTTAACTGTTTAACTTTTTTCTGGTCACATAATAGTCAAAGTTGTGACTGAGTGCGTAAATATGAAGATAGATAGATAGAAAAAAAATTAAAATAGTCTTGCAAGACGTCATAATTATTTTGACTACCTAAAAGCTGAGACTACTATAACACATGTGTTATAGTCAGAGACATATATACACAGAGATTGGCAACTCCGTGAAATCCCGTTAAAAAACGCGGCCCGGAATGAGATTCTCGTCGATAATTATTCTACAACATGTAGACAAGTCAGGGATGAATAACCTCGATAGCTAATCAAGAAAAGTAATAGGAAAACTTATTTCAGATCAAATAAATTCTTTTTCTAAAAAACTACTTGAAATAGTTGTATTTTTTTTAATGTATTTGATTGAGAAAATATTTTTTTCTTTTTTTCGGCATTTCTTTTAATTTAAAAAGTAAAATCTGGTAATGATCATGATATTACAAGAAACATTTCTTTGCTAAAGTTTGCTTCTATATTACACAGTGAAATTATGTGTGTCCGATTTTCCGGTAATTATTTCCTTAGAGTTGTGACTGTGGATTCACTGGTGTGCGATTACGCAATTTATTGCCCTCCGATCACCTGAATTTTGCCGGAGGTGAAGTTCTAAGTGGATTATTACTTGGTAATTGTTTTTACAACTAAACAAATTCTGACATTATTTTAACCATGACCAGAACTTTATTTTAACAGAAACACTGGGCTATACTATGAATAGGGTAAACGGACAGAAAGTCACAGGACATAAAGTCACAAATTGGATAGGACAAAAATCACAAATAATTTATTGACAATTGTTTGAATATATAAGAGAAAGATCTTCAAATAATATCTTTTTGTACATTTATTCATTTTTAAGTTCAGGGAATTGTTCATAAGCCTTGATAAATGAAAAATTATTAAATTTTAATCGTGCAAATAATATATTTCTTGGCACCATGAAGCCATTTAAGTGCCAAACCACTTTGACATTTTGTTATCATTACAATTATTTGATCATCATTGATATTTATTGAATAAATTTTAATTACAAAGTTGCTTCATATATTATAGTTCAATAAAAAATCAAAAAATTATTTTTAAAATTAGTGTTTTCTTGTTCAGAGAAAAATAATCTCAAAACTGAATTGTGACTTTTCGTCCGTGACTTTTTGTCCTGTGACTTACTGTCCTACATTCTACTATAGTATTCAATCAGGATCAAAAATAGTCATTTAACATGTCAAAAAAAGAAATCAGAAAGCAACTTTTTTACATAAAAAAAAATATGTAGCCAGTAGAATTTTGTCTCGTGGAAAACGGATTTAAATGATTAATTTTTGATTGACCTACAATTACATTATTTGTGGAACCTTTGCATGAATTTCCTAAATGAACGTACATTATGTACAGTGTTGTCGAAATCACTATTTTTGCTGTCATGAAATATAGAATATGAATCTGTCATTATTTGTAGTTTTTTATAGACTTAATATCACAGACCCTGATTAAAAACAACGTGTATCATAAGTACAGTAAAATGCTCTGCTGAACTGTAGAATTTTAATGTTCTGTTTCATAGACCACAGAAGTACTGCAACATCCTTATCTTTACTCTTTCCTATCGGGTAGTGAAACTCGAGTTTGAAATTAGAAAGATTTAAAATTGAAGACAAGTTTTATCTTATCTTTTGTAGGTTTATGTTTCGGTGCAGTGCTATGTGGGCTGTTATTTTTTCATTTGTCATTTTTTTATCTGTGTTACATGACCTTGTACTTTTTGTATTGCCCCTTGACATCTCCTGCTTCTGTTTAAACCTTTACCACTAATATCTCATCTGGTTTAAATAAAATAGTGTCTCATTCCCGGAATTTGTTATACAGGAATTCATTTTAATATCAGTTTTTTATAAGCATATAAACTGCTTGGTCTCTTCACACAATTTATGTTTAGGACGGAATGCATCAATAGGTACATACATGTACCAGGTCACCAATATATAAGTACACGTTATGTGCTTTTGACCTCCACAAGAATTCTTAAACATTCATAGATGTGCAAAGAATATTTTTGTCGTTGGGTTGTTGTCTCATTGACATATACCTCACATTTCTGAATAGTCATAGCAGCTGTGCCTTTTCAATTTATTGCAGAAAATATTTGCATTAACATTTTTCAAAATAGGCGAGGTGAAACAGTGATCACAGAATGAGGACATGTAAAACTGAAACAACACAACACAACAGATAAATATAAACAAGCACCATTGCTAAAGGACTGAAACAAACATAGATGATGACTAATATGAGCGACTAGTAGTGTACAAGTAGAGTGAACATTTCTTGCTTCTTATTCTACACATTTTGTCATTTCATGTAAACAATTAAATATGTTATTTTCCGAGGAGAGGAAGGAATTTGTGAAACGAAATATTTTGTCTTTAGTACTGTCAAGTTATATATTCACAGGAGTGTTGTTGAATAAATGAACATTTTCCTTTTTTTTACATTATGCTACCTTTTTGCTACAAAGGTAGCATTTCCATTCTCATGATATACAAATATTATAGAGTGGCCTTCCAATGATAGTCATACATGTAAATCATTGTCTCATTGGCAATCATACTTCATCATCATATTGTTATACATGTATGTAAAAATTATGTACATGTATACTTTGTAAACGTAAAGAAGACAAATGAAGTTGAACACAAGATATTTATTTGCATTTTTATCCGTATAGTCTCTGCACAACTGCCACTTCTGTTTCAAATTCAATAGATTGAATGCGGAGTCTTGTATTTATTCTTAGTTCAATGATGTCACGCATACACATGTACATCAAGTTTGGCATATGAACTATGATATTTGAACTACAATAATGTGGTGTTTTCACAGTCAGGATAAGCACATGTCATTTTCTCTCTTACAAAACCATTTTTTAGTATCACATTGATAGTAGTACATGTAATCGGTCCACTACATGACTGTGCAGTAACATTTGAAAAAAGTCATCACTAATAGTTGTTCCTGTCTGCCAGGGAATCTTTTTTTTAAATCAGAAAGGCTAGGGAGTCCTACATTCAGCACATGTATGATATTACATCTCTTGTATGCTGCACTGTTAGGTAAATTTGATCAACATCTTTGTTCTTTTATAATATGCAGGATCCTGTTAAAAAAAAAATGCTGTCAGATACTGAATGTAAATATACATGTATATAAACTTGTAAATGTCATCAAAGTGGTGGAAATAATGAAAAAAACAATTTATATACACAAAACCGGTATGTCTTGGGAAAGTAATTCCTGTGATCAATGGTGATGGGTACATTTGTTCTTTAAAGATGGACAATTTTATAAACTGTAGCCATGGACAGGTGCCTGTCTTTATATTGACGAGAATGAAAATGGCCGACAGCTTGAATGGTCATTTTTAATTGTAAATTGCATCAAAGCTGGTGAAAATATGGAAAAAACAACTGTTATACACAAATCCAGTATGTCATAAGAAAGTAATTCATGTGCTGGGAATAATTATTCTCTAAAGATGGAAAAGTTTATTGACTGTAGACATGGACAGGGGCCTGTCTTTATATTGAAGAGAATGAAAATGGCCGACAGCTTGAATGGTCATTTTTAATTGTAAATTGCATTAAAGTGGGTGAAAATATGTAAAAAACAACTGTTATACACAAATCCAGTATGTCATAAGAAAGTAATTCATGTGC